GACAGGCTCAGCAGCATTTTGAACGAGATGTGGATTGGGACTCGTTATTGCAGGTCGACACAGCGCCATGTCAGACTGAGTTAAGGATGGAGCGGGACGCATTGACTGGGGATATGGATTTCTGGCATTGGTCTGAGATTACCTCACCCTCTACTTTGATTACGGCTAAGAATTCGACATCATTTCATCGGGCTCCAACTGCTACCAAAGACTTTGTGCGGGGCACCATGAAGAGAACATTGATAGTTTTCTGACCGATAATGGCAAGCTGGATCTATTGATAGATGAATGCGATAGTATAGACGTTAAAATACTTTGCCGTCAGAAAGCCAAAGCATTACAGATTCCGGTGGTTATGGAAGCCAGCGACCGGGGCACGGTGGATGTTGAGCGTTTTGACTTGGAACCCAACCGCTCCATCCTTCATGGTTATGTGGATCACCTTGATATATCAAAACTCAAAGGATTACGCACCAACGAGGAGAAAGTACCTTATATCTTACCGATTGCCGGGGTGGAAACTTTGTCTAAACGGATGAAGGCGTCCATGTTTGAGGTTGGGCAAACAATCACTACCTGGCCCCAGTTGGCCAGTGCCGTGACATTGGGTGGTGGCATCGTGACGGATGTATGCCGCCGGATTTTCCTGGATGAGTACCACGAGTCTGGAAGGTATTTTATAGACATGGATGACCTGATCGGTGATAAAAAGAAAAAGGTTGTACCCCCTGAATTTAATCCACAGCCATTGACTCCTGAATTGGTTTTGGAGTTGATCGCGCAATATTCAGCCAACTTACAGCCCGGCCTTGAGCTGAAAGAAGAAGAAGTCAGTAAATTGGTGGGAAGCGCTATTCTGGCACCTTCAGGTGGTAATGCCCAACCCTGGAAATGGCATTGGAAAGCCGGAGCGCTGTACTTGTTCCGCGATTCAGCCTTTGAAACGCGGTTGGTTGACTATAACAGCACCGCGTCGTACATAAGCCTGGGCGCTGCTTCTGAAAACTTGGTGCTCAAAGCACATGAATCGGGCTATGAAGTGGTGATCAGCAAATTTCCATTGGGCGAGCAGGGGCTTTTAATTGCTGTATTTACTTTTCATGAAAAAGAGGTTGTCACAGAAGGTGTAGAAGCGCATATTGTTGATGACCTGGTCCATGTAATTCCATTGCGCGGTGCTAACCGGATGTTGCGTAATTCTGGTGCGGTACCCGATAGTGCATTAGTTGCTTTACAGGCTACAGCACAGACCATACCCGGCGCTAAGCTTAGCCTGATCACCGAACCGGCACCTCTCAAAGCAATAGCTGACATCATCGGTAAGGCCGATAAGATGCGGATTATGCACGAGGGCGGTCACCAGGATTTCATGGAAGAAATGGTGTGGACGGAAGAAGAGGCAAGGCAAAGGGGCCGGGGGATTGAAATCGACTCTCTGGACCTGACTGCATCCGAGCGGGCGGGCATTAAAATGGCCACCGATTGGGAGGCAATAGCATACCTCAATAAGTGGAATAAAGGCACCACATTGGAGCGGGCTTCCCGCAAATCAGCGAATGCTGCTTCTGCCATCGGGCTTATTACGGTGGATGGTTATAATATGCCGCACTTCTACAATGGTGGACGGGCGGTGGAAAGGGTTTGGTTACAAGCCGCTGATATGGGCATCGCCTTCCAGCCGCTCAGTATTTCTACTTTTCTTTTTAACCGGCTTTTACATGAGGGGGAACAATCATTTTCT